AGGCCATTAGCGCACAGCGCTAGCACCGTTTTGAAAGAAGTCCAATTTTGCCCAAAATTTTGAAGCATTTTGATGCTGACAGTTGCACTGTTCGGTCATTATGCATAGTTGGTGATAGAAAACGGAAAAGCCTTCTCCAGGGGGCCAGTTGTTTACTTGCCCGACGTCTCGAACTCCCACACGAGCCCATTGTCAAGGAATGAAAATGTGTACACTGCTCCCTGCGTATTTAGCTCAGCTCTGCCGGAAGTGACTTTGAGCTGCGCCATCAATTTGTTCGCCCAACGCCAAAAGGCATGCCTATTAATAGAATCCTCCTGCGAGTGTTATGCTGCCTGCAGCAGGCATGAGATTCGGTCGTCCGACCGACTCAGTATTCTCACGCGTTCGAAGTCAAAGCCGTGCCTTGGCGAGGATGCGTGGGCGGCGACCAAGGCTAGTTTGTGCTTCCTTTACACGGCGAGTTCGCGCTCGTGAGAATCCGTTTGCCAGTTTCGTCATCATAATTGGCTTGACCACAAAAACAGTCGATGCGGTGAATGGCACCTGATTTTGGTTAATGGCTATTGGGTCTTTAGGCTGCCTGCGGATTGTTGCTTCCGCTCGAGGAACGACGCCAATCCCGAATTCGCTGACCAGTCGAGCTAATTCTTCGGATATACCAGCAATATAAGCTATTGCTGGCCAGCGTGTTGGTTCTGGCTGCCCCATTAATTTACCTTTTCTTGCTCCTCGGCCATCTTCTCGGCTGTTTCGCTGCAGTGGGTTTCTACTCGACGATATAGAGTTCGTACGCAGCTGCAGTTGTGCGAGACGGGAATGGTTGCTGAGGTCACTCAGAATACGTGAGATGTTTTCGTCGCCTTTCTGTAAAGTGCTGGTGATCTCTCGGTGTTATGTGGCCTGTGTGTGTGTGTGTGACTAATTTTATTCACGCTGAATGAAAGGCGTTTTTGCTAAAAATAAACTTTGGAATCATATATTTATTTAGGAGGTCTAGCAGATTTGTCGAATTTAGTTGACCCAGTTGTGAAAAAACTCGCCGAATGCTGCGGGTTTTTTTCACAATTGTGTCAACTAAATTACATATTTCAAAATAAGGCATATTCAGAAGAAGAGTGTGCGACCACCGGGAACAAGTGTTTTATTTTCCTGACGTTTCGGATTCCATTGGGAATCCTTAATCATAGGTACTGGTAGCATAGTCATAGTCATGCGCATATTTCTCTCGTGCGCATTTTGTAACAAGACTCTGCAGTATCTTTTTCTTGCTCCGGAGTACTGAACTTATGTTTTTTGATACACCTTGACTTTGTCGCTTTTACTGCTGTCTTGGGACCCCTCACAGTGAGGCCCCCCACACAGTTGACTTATTCCTCCCTCCTGTGATCCCTTCGATCAGGCGCAGAAGAACAGGAGGAGGTGATGGAGATGGTGGTGCAGGGTACCAAGCCATCTCTCGTCCGTCTGCTGAATTCTCCCCCACTCTCACTCGAGGAATCAGCAGAACTCTCGACCGAAGAAGCCGATGACTTGCTGTTTGTTCAAAAACCAGGCACTCCACCGGCCTGCTTCACTCGTCGACGCACGCCCTTCTCCATACTCAAATCAAGCTCCGTTGGAAGTATGGGATGCCTGGCAGAACGATCCGGTAAGTGAACAAACCCCGTCTGGTGTGTGTTTAGTTTGGGGCATGTACTGACTGTTATTATTGAATTTCTGCCTTGGTTTTCCAGTGAAACGTTAATGGCAATACCTTCATAAATAGTTTTAGGGATGCCACAAATCTCTCCTCAGATCTAATTGGTCCACGTCTGCGACAAGTCGTTGGTCGATTCTTTCTGATCAACTGGATACTATAAATACACGTAGCCTGCTTGTGAGGATGACTTGCGCTGTTTGTGAATGCAGCTCTCCGTGTGGTCGGTTGCCTTCTCTTCCGCTCGCATGGGGACAATGGTCGGGCAAGCCCATAGTATTCGTGACAATTACAAGTAGCAGGCGCAGATAATAACAGAGACCGTAGGATTAATCACACCAGCAGGTTATGGCATCTTCCAAACATACCGTTGTCGGACGTTTGTACTGTTTTTTTCTTAAAAAGATATAGAAATAATGTTCTCCCCATTGCACTAGCACTTTTTTTATAGAAATGTGAAAGCCCATCACCGCTGTGAAGAGATTTTTTGTTGAAACCATTCCTCCACCCCACAGAAAAGGGGAGAGCTTTTCTCTAGGCGGTTTATCTGTTTCTTTGAAAATTGTAATCTCTGTGTCAGTACGCCAGGTCTTAGTTGTAGGCCATGTGCCGTCCCATGAAATCCTGGCCGAAATTCTAAGATGTGTTAACGATCCAGAAAAAAATGTTGTTTAAGTACTGTTGTAAGATTAGTTATCGTGTCGGGATAGAAACTTTTAAACGAGTCTCCTTCCGGCTATCTGCAAAATATACACTCAATTTTCCCCATCGATTTTCGTTGACTTTGTATATGCAAATAGATTATTTAGGAAACCTGCATAAAAATGTGCTTTCTTGTACTCATTTAGTAGCAAAATACATCTTAACATGTTATACGTGACAACCTAATATCCCTCAATTTCGAAAAAGTATTTTTGATTTCAAAATACCTTTGAATCCCGCCTGCCTTTCTTAACTGCAAGGAATGTCGTACACTCCTGTATGCTATCAAACAGACGTCGTATAAGGGTTCATAAGGTTTTGCAGTTGATGTGGATCGCGTTGTATCCTTTGCACGTGGCACTAATGAATGAACTGGTAGAATGCTTTATGAATGGACATTTCGCCGTCTCGAAAAAATCTATAATTGCAAAATTTTGGCAGATGGGCCCTGCCAATAAACACAAGGGAGACTGGTCTGTTTCTGATACTCATGTCTCTGATGATGAATCCGCGACGAATGTCGAAACGTCGGGCGAATAAACGTATTGCCCCAGCGATCGAGTCTTCTTCACAAGATAGGCTGTTGTTACAGTTGCTGGCTTATTAGCCATCGTCAGTCAGCCATACCTTACTTTAGATGGTGCGCAACCCGGGGCTTAAATCCACGACTTCTTGCTTGACAGACAATGAGTCCGTAGTCCAGTGGTTAAAGCGTTGAACATCTACTCAACAGGTCGTGAATTC